ACTGGCCCTCTTGGCCACAAGGGCACGTTGCCGCTGGGCGAGTGGGACCTCGATATGTGCCAGTGCTGCTCCCCGCAGCCGCTAACGCACACGCTGGCGACAAAGCCCATGTGCTCACACACAGCTGCCCCCTGCTCTGACCCTGCTGGCGGAGCGCTGGCCGCTCCGGGTGCCTGCTGGAGCAGCTGCTCTGCCTGGCCTTAGCAGGAGTCACCTGTGCCAGCGGCAAGTTCACCAATTTGGCTCGTGCTGTGCTCCCTCCCAGCATGTGGTGATGTCCAGGACACGTGCAAAAGGTGATCTCTCCCATGGGCTCTTCTTTATTAAGTTTATTAAGTCAGAAGTGAAATTTCATTGCTTTTGAGTCCACATTTAGCTTCCTGGATATTTTTTTTAATAGAAAAGAAACCTGTTCAGAATTCCAAATTCTTTGCCTCTGTTTTCCTACTATCTCAATACTGTGTTTTAAAGGCACAGTTAGTCTACCCTTCAACTCACACATTCACTGTATTTCAATTACCTTAAAAACTACAAATCCAGGAGTAATAGGGTTTTTTTTCCTGATTTCTACTCATTATTAGGTTTTTGGTAATTTTACTCCAAATGAAATATTCCGAATTTCAAATTAAACTCCTCTGAAGGTCTGAATTTACCTCATGCTCATTTGTGAAACTATTCACCACGCTACCACCTAAAAATAAAAGCCTTGCATTAATGCATTTTTGTTTTTGTTTTTTTTTAATTTCAGCATGTGGCAAATTGATGAAAATTACAGGCCCCATTACAGTCAAGGTATCCGGAACACGATTTGGAGCCTGGATGACAGACCCATTAGCATCAGAGAAAAATAACAGAGTATGTTAAGGCACTGAGTATCTTTTTGTCTGAGTTTTACTTGCTTTATTTTAACCTTTGAGAAGATCTTTCTCCCCCTAGGAGGTTAAACTGATAAGTATATTTCTTTTACTTCCCTTATTTCCACTGTTAAACATCTTCAGAGAAAAAGCAAGTGTCCATGCAAAAATACCCAAAGACAAAAGATAGCTAAGTAACTTTTTTGCCATGCCCTGTCTGAACCGACTACAACATTTTTTTTCATCCTACCTTATTTAACTGAGCTCGAGACATTAAGAACCGAAGTAACGTAACACCAGCATCAATGCTTTTGCCCAAGAGCATCACCCAGACTGCAGCACAGTCAAAAAGCTGAGATTTGCTGCCTCAGATCCAAGTTATATTATTATTTGGACCTGCAATAGGGTCTCAAACTGGCTACCCTTTCGGAAAGGTGCTCTCTTTTGAAGTCAAAGCATGATGTTGACAAAGTTAATTTTTTTGAATACCGAGAAAAACCCCAAAGGCAATTAGAAATTAGAACAAACCCTACCCGTCACAGCATCTCAGCGAACAGGAGGATTTTTTGTTGGCTGGAAATAGATGCACAAATATCTCCAGAAATAATTCTGTGCTTCTGTTTGTCAGGATTTTGAGTTACCCTCTGACAAACTAAAAGGAGAAAAGGCAAAATGCACAAAGGAAAAAATGGGGGAATGGAGGCTGGCACACAGAACATTAAAAAAGTATTAATTTTCTTTTAAGGGGAAAAAGAAATGTTGCCTAAATTTTACTGGTTTCATTGTCATCGTATTTGGTTCCTTTACTAAAAATGCACTATTTTCATCAAGTAGAGGTTCAACTGAAAAGAAATCAACCAAATTTATTCCTAAGCATAAATCCAAGCTAAGTTCACATGACATTTCCTATCTCTCTCTTTGAGGAATGATTCTGGGAGTATATTTCAGCATACCCCATATAGCAGAGACCCAAACACTGAACAACTCAAAATTAAATTTCCGTAGTTAGTTAAGAATTCACCTATGTAGGTAAGTTTCAGTTCAGAAATTCAAGAGTTCTGCATGCTTTTGTAACAGGAACGTAGATAATACTGTACTTTGGTAGCCTGCTGCACACCTAAATCCTTTTATTCCTGCCTTTTGGGCAATGTATCCATCATGCCTTGTCCTGGTCATGTACCACAGATTGTGTCCCAGGTGTTTATTCCCAATCTTTGTTTTCTTTCCAGGTCTGGTACATGGATAGTTACACTAACAATAAAATTGTCCGTGAATATAAATCCATTGCAGACTTTGTCAGTGGGGCTGAATCGAGGACATACAACCTCCCATTCAAATGGGCAGGAACCAACCACGTTGTCTACAACGGCTCCCTCTATTTCAACAAGTACCAGAGCAACATCATCATCAAATACAACTTTGACACGGGGCGGGTGCTCGCGCAGCGTAGCCTTGAGTATGCTGGCTTCCACAATGTCTACCCCTATACCTGGGGTGGCTTTTCTGACATCGACCTGATGGCAGATGAGATTGGGCTGTGGGCAGTGTACGCCACCAACCAGAATGCAGGCAACATTGTCATCAGCCAGCTCAACCAGGATACACTGGAGGTGCTGAAGAGCTGGAGCACGGGCTACCCAAAGAGAAGTGCTGGAGAATCCTTCATGATCTGTGGCACCTTGTACGTTACTAACTCTCACTTGACAGGAGCCAAGGTTTACTATTCCTACTCCACAAAAACCTCCACTTACGAGTATACAGACATTCCTTTCCATAATCAGTATTTTCATATATCCATGCTTGACTACAACGCGAGAGATAGAGCTCTCTATGCCTGGAATAATGGACATCAAGTCCTGTTTAACGTCACCCTTTTTCATGTCATTAAAACTGAAGATGACACATAATTTTCTTTTCCTTTCCTGTCGCTCACCTCCCTCTAAAGCCGCATCATTTGTGATAAGCATCCGTCTCTCTCAGTTCCTTTTGATTTGCGTTTCTGTTCTCATCACGGAAAAGCAACATTTTTTACCATACGATGCATTTCAAATATGGCTGAGCCTGTCAAAAATGACCTGTTGGAAATAAAAGCATCTTAACTCATGATTCTGCAAGGTCTCTCAAGACCTTAGCTTGAAAAGCACTAAAGAGGATTTAAGTGGCTAAAGACAGTTTTTAAAAGATTATGATATGCCTTATTTTGGAGTCAGAGACTAATGGTGGCTTAAATGCATGAATGTCTTTTTTTACCTCATTTTTGTTTCTAATCTATTGCTCAACATCAGGAAATATTTTGGTAGTGTCAGACACATATTGCACACTGTATATTTTTTTTATTATTTATTCCAAAGGAAAGATTTAGGAATTTAATTTACTTGGACATGTTATGGGATTAATTTTGCCATCACCCAATTTCAGATGTGGTGCTGTACAGTATGTTTTTAAATCTCTTGCAAACATTTTATCGACAGTATGTATTTCTACCATTGTAACCACCATTGTGCAATTGTATCTCTTCACTAATGTGAAAGTAAACTAAGTACTATTTTTTATAAAATATATTGAAGCTTAATCACAGTTCTGGCTATGGGTCAATTCAAAGTGGTAAAAAGCTGAGAAAAGGTTGTTATTTCTGAGAAAAAAATGTAATTTCTCAGGTGCAAGATCCCTATTCTCAGCTTTGCTTGGTAGGTCCCTTCTTACTCGCCGTTGGTGGCCAACCTGCAGCGTTGAAGGCCCTACTAGCCCCAGCTTTACAGTCCTTTGCCCTGCCCAGTGTTTACCTCTCCTGCTGGCTTCTCGCTCTCAGTCTCTTTTTCCCCTACTCTCCTTCCACCATTTAATTTCCCTCGCTTACCCTCACCGCCTGATCTGGGTTTTGCTGCAGAGAATCCAAAGGCGGGCTGGTGCCCGCACCCTCAGCCCACATGCGTGAGGACATCCCCTGTTCGCGCTTTTCTTCTGAGGAGCAGCGTTAGGAGTCCAGTTGCCTTCCTTAATCTGCCTGTCTTATTGTTAACAGAAGGGCGCTTAGCTGTTGACAAACTTCTCTGGGATTGGCAGTGATGAGGGAGAGAACACAAAGCGTAAAGGCACCTGGGAGCCACCATATTGCTTGCCCTTGCTAGAAAGCGGCCACAGCACTGAGGCCAACTTCTTGCCAAAGATGTTTGGGTTTTCTCACAGCACCGTTGCGTATGGTCAAAACTGCTGCCTTTCAAAAACAAATATTTCTGAAAGCTGCGTGGCTTTCTAAACTATCTTGACTATCTTGTTGGAAACTGGGGGGGGGGGGGGGAGCATGTTTGATGTAGAACAAGGAACAAGGTGCTATCTATTCTGGCGTAAATGGAAAGAAACTAGCATTAAGGACTAGTAGAAGACTTTTTATTAAGCTGGGCTATCACATAATGCAGATACCTCAAAAACTGTGAAATCTGAGATTCTCCTCTTCATACCGTTTGATATTTGGCTCACAGAGAACTGAGAACATTTGTGAAAATGTTCCTATTTAAAGAACAAGAAAATGACTTAAATGCACTGACATTTTGCCAGATCTACTTCGAAACATTTGATTGTTGATTCTTCCAACGTACCAGCTGAGACCACCTTAAGTCTCATGAATGTTTTCCTTGTTATAAATATATGTGTCTATGTAAAATTCTGCTTTACAGTATAAACCCTTGTAAAGCTGAACAACAAATGGCCTTATTTTTTATACTGCTTGCAAAAGAGAAAACTACTAATTAGGTTTCAAGAACCCATAAAGGGAGAAAACAACAATAAATTACATTGCATGACCAGAGAAAAGTTATGCTCCTGCTTCCATTTTTCCCCTCGTGCTTAGCTGAAATGATGGCTCTTACCCCTTGCAATCAGTCACACGGGATTTGGAGATGCTGAGGTCAGCAAAACAAGCAAATTAAACCACTTCACGCCCGTAGCCAGCTCTCCTGTATTGACAATGAAACTCCTCTGTGACACATGAAAGTGTATTTGGCTGCTAATTCAAAAAGGTATTTTAGGGCATATAGGAATGTTTTATGGAAATGAAGTATGTTTAGATTTTTATCAAAAGTCCTAAAACAAGTCCTAACTTTTCCCACACACAGAGTAACTTCAGCAAAGTAGAACTTTTTCACAAATACAGCATTCTTAAAAACATTGCTTGAAATGTTAAACTTCTTCCTACTGTGTCATCATAAACTCGACTAATAGTCATGATGTGAGGATCACTTCATCTGCAAAAAAAGAAGTTACTCCTGTGTTTCTTGATGATCATTCCATACGGTGTAATTAGCATGTGTACGTAAGTACAAGCTGATAACAGTTCTTACAGTAAGATTAACTCACCTGATTTCACCATTTCCTGTTAGTCTAAGGAGAGAAAGAAAGGGACACCACTACAAGGTGCTAGAGATGGGTGGATAAGAGGGGTAGGAAAGTTACCGTTGAAGGGTGCTTTGTCATATGGATGAAGCTACTGTGCTAAAGCATATGAGTCATACCAAATAAGTCCTGCCCTTCTAAATTGGTAACAATGGGTTAGTTTCCAATACCTTTCAACATGAAATAACTTGCATAGCATCAATCCCCATGTGTTGCCGAGGTGACATCTCTGGTGACAGGGAGGCTGGATTAAAATGATCCCTTCCAGCCCAGGCCATTCTATGATTCTATGAGTATGACAAAACCTGGTGATACACTATCAAGCAAGCAGCACTGTTTCCCACTAAGGAGCATTCATTCTTCTGTGAATCAGTGTTTATCACCTGTCTTTTCAAAACTGGAAGTTCCAAAGTCATATACCCAAAAGTCTGAAAACAGCATGCCTCAATAGAAGCAAATTTGTGTTGCAAGCTTTGACTTCAAAATGAAGCTTCACAAGCAGAAAATCTCCGTAATATAGCAAACCACCTAGTTACATATCAGCAAGTAAAGTTGTATTTTTATAGTTGAAGCATAGGCTGTTTGTTATGAAGAGGTACTGATACTATAGGTGAAAAAAAAAATTAATTTTAGGGCCTATTTTATTACCGTGGTGACCTCCTACTTCAAGGGATAAACATGTAAAAGGACCATATTATTCTTGCGCACAAAACAGAGTTCTTAAATTTGACTGAGCTGTGCGACCAGCAGAGAGGGTTGCACACAACCACAAATGTAGCACAGGAGCACAAGTGTGCCGATGCACCAGGCTTGTCCCTCCCAAGGGAGCCTAAGGAAGGTGCATGATGAACGCTGCAAAGCTCGTAGCTCTCTCCCTGGAACAGGGTTACGGTTCCTCACGACAAAACAGGTGGAACAAACCTCACCAGAGAAAGCTTCCTCAGCAGTAGTAATCCTTTACAGTCCCTGCTAGCAATTTTTTCCAGTGAGTAACCCCCAATTCTATTGTTATGCAGATAAGGTGTTCAGCCTGCCCTTTCTGTCACAGCTGCTAAGCAGACCACTGGCACAGTGACTCTTCAGTGTACACAACACTGTGGTCACCACCAGCAGAAGATGGTATTCAGCCTGAAAAATTAAAAGGAAGTAGTTGAATGAGGCAGAGTGATACAACATTTTAATCACAGATTGCTTATATCTAAGAAGAATAGTTTCCAGACCAGCTCAGAGGCATTGGCTGTCACTCAGCTCAGCAGGCTGGATCCACAGCAAAGGACGGTGAGATCTTTATTTCAAATCACAGACCGAATAAATATGTTACCTGGTCATTTGTTGCAGTAAAAAATTGCTTGCAGAACAATAGGGATGAACAAACCGTTCACAACAAATTACTCATCCGGTAAATTGTGTCCTTTTTCCAGTTCAAGAATTGCCAGGGAGTGCTCTTGATTCATACCGATTTTTATGCTAGTCAGAATGGGTTTGGAAATCATTTGGATGGGCAGGTACCTACCTATAAATCACCCAGGCATTCCTTGCTGTGAGTCTTACTCTGCATCCCTGGCAGTCGAGAGGCAATGCCGAGTGTTTGGGCATCTTTTCCATAAGTGGCTGCAGCTGCCGAGCTTTGGGACTGAGCTGCTTCTCAGCCCTTGGTGCTGACTTCATACTCCCTGCTACACTAATTCTGAGGAGACCAGCTCCTGCTCCTTGACATTGTATAACTGCCTCATCCCACCAGAAGCTCACACTCGGAAGGACTCAAGCATGCAAACACCGACTTCCACAGATCACAGAGCCAAGTCCTGAAACTCACTTCCCTACCAAGAATAGAGACCACCTGGACGCGTTCCTGTGGGACCTGCTTTGGGTGACCCTGCTCTGGCAGGAGGTCTGGACTAGATGATCTTTCCAGGTCCCTTCCAACGCCTGACATTCTGTGATTCTGTGCCATTTTGTGATCTTATTGCCCAAACAAAACACAGGACCGTACATGTGCACATCAATATGCAAGCAAGTAACTATAATCCTAGAATTACAGAATAAGATTATTTCTCCCATAGAAGGGGTTATTTCTCTCATAGAAACAGACCACCTAAGGTTACTCAAAGATTGTTAATACTCAGGTTTCTATGTTCAGTTACTGGGAAACTATGGAGACACAGAGTCCCCGACCCAAGCTGTGGAGACTCTACAAAAATGAATGCTTTGTACAGTGTGGCTTTTGGTGGGCTCTAGAACACCAACATCCTACATCATCTATGACCACAGATTCACCAAACTGAGATGTGCAGGGGTTTTCTTCGAGCTGCAAAGACATCATCCACCTGATTATCCTGGTATTATGATTGATTACCACCCTTAGAATCTGTGAACTCCTGTAGACTTTCAGCTGCTGTCCGTCAGTGCACTTAGTGAGAGAACTAAGTTCAGGAGAACTTCTAGCCCTCTACATGTCTCTCTTTTTCCGCAGAGGCCCTCTCACGTACGTAGCACACATTGTGACAGACAAGCTGCAAGAGCAAAGGACGGATCCTTTCTGCAGCCCTTGTTCGAGTCAGCAGGGATTATCCATAAATGTAGACACTGGCCCCAAATATCAACACTTTGCATTTCCTCTGAAAACACCCCATGGAGGAAATCCTCACTCTTGAAATACAGGTCGTATTTATTGGTTTTCTAACAAAAGGAGTTGCACAAGCTTCTCATAAAAGTGTTCAGCATCTTAGAGACTAAGGGTATTTGCCTCTATCTCTGAAACGGAGTCAGGGAAGAAAATGCACATTTACTTTAGAATCAGAGGTTTCTGCTGGGCTTGCCAGCTGAATACTGGCAGCAGAGCCTCTGGAGTTTTCCTTTACCTACTGCTTGAGAACAATCAATTAAAAGACTTACATTGCAGAAATATCTCAGTCCAAGTGAAACAAAGCCTCTTCAGGATTTTGTTTGAAAAATTGCAGAGTTTTAAATAGAGCCCATTACAAATGCAGATAATATTTAGATCAGCTGCATTCTGCCCCCACCTTTGAGTCCGCTGTACAGAAGCCCCATTTTCCCTGAAAACCGTGCAGGGGATACACCACAGCAGCCCAGAAGATTGTGTGAAGACAGATGAAAATGATAGCTTACAGGCCAGATTTGGCACCACAAAACACGATCCATTTTACCCTGCTTTTTATTCCTATTTA